ATTGACTGAGAAATATAAAATAAATACAATATTGCAGAGTTAACATAAATTGCAATTTCAATATTTCCATTTTCTTGTATAAGCGAATGACAAATAAAATATAAAAGTAATAATAGAAATTGTAGAAAGGTTTATGCAATGTTTTATGCTCCGTTTATAATGTAAAATGGATTATCATAATTGATTGTAAAGTTTATTATATAGGTTGTGTGTGATTGTTTGTTACTATTTACCTCAAAAACTCCTGTATGGAATTTAATAAGACTATACAATAATATAGCTTACACAACAGAATGGGGTACAGGTTATAATTTTACTCGAAATTCCGTGAAGTTCTAACAAGATAAATGTCATAGAACTATTTCGTGTGAAGTCACGTGAAACAGACAATAGACAAAACATCCTCGTAAATATTTTTAAACTCATGCATTAATTCTATTTCTCAGTAAGTCTACCTCAATATACTATTACTTTAACCACACTTATAATAAATATAATAAATAAAAACAAAAGAATGTTATATTTAATTTTGTTAAATCGATAAATTCTATATTAACATATTATCTATATATGTATATAATTTTTAAGTCTCCATTTGAACCTAAAACCTACTTAAAACGTATACGCAAATTGCGTCCTTCATATCATTGCCATTACAGCTTATATTCCCCCGAAGTAGAATTTCCATACAATTTATTAGCCGAAGTACTTTTAATGAAATTGTTGGAGACATGATGTCTGTGTATTAGTGTCAATGAAACGTTATTTACATAAAAAATAAAAAGCTCTAATCTAACTAATGAAGCACTAAAGTGATTAGTTTTAAAACAGTAACGTATGTAGGTACATTTATTCTTATCAAATAAATTTTAACTATTTGCTGCAACTTGGCTTGGTAATAAATTTATTTAAAATCTCATTATAGATAGATAGATAGCTCTTTGTGAGGAATATTCTAATATTTGTTTTAATTGATGTTTTTAAAGCACGTGTAGTATTGAAGCAACTACTGAAATAATTCTCATTACACTGTGACTAATATTATGTTTACATTTAAAATAATTAGGGATGCGATAAAGAACTTTTTTAATAACTCGTAGAAAATACACTTTTGTATTTGATGTTAGTTTCCTTTAATATTTTCCTTTGTATGTTTCATAAGACTGCAAGTAAGAATATTTGTACCAATAATTATTTTTACGAAGTCAATATGAGTTTTCACTTAATTAATGTTACCGTACATTTCAGTTCAAAATACCGTCTGAATTTCAAGCCATGTTTTAAATTGAATTATATTCCTAATATCCATTTAAAGTTTTGTTTTCTGTGACCTATATACAATACTAGTTGTGTCCTGTGATTTCATCTGTGCAAATTCTATTACATAAACATTATTATTTACAAAATTTTACTGTATACTCAAAATTTTAGATCTGTTAAGCAAATTAAATGGATAAGAACTAACATAACCTTTGCCATAAAAAAATATTGCCTTGATTTATAAACAAAAAACTATTACTGATTCGCTAAAGATTTTTTTGTTGATATAAAACATTGATAAGACCTTTAAATTATAAAATTTTTTATACTATAAATTCTTTTTATAGGCACTAAGAAGTTTCTCTTTATTTTTTGGATAAAATTAGGCCGATTTTTTTAGATATCAGCATATTTTAAAGATGCCTCTTAAAGCTGGTGCTATAAACTTTTCTTTGTTAAATTTTCCTTATAAATTTGTTAGTGTAAATTAATTCAATTACATTCAAATATGTAATCTAAATAATATGAACGTAAGGTTCATTTTATCTTATAAATTATTACTTTAAATTAATAAATGTTAGTTGTTACCTTCATTTATAATTAATATGTGTCGGATCAAAGATTATCGTTCCCAGTTGTATGATTTATATGCTGATAAGGGTCTATAGTATTAGCCTTGATTATATCAAACAAACGTTTAAAATTATTAAGTATTTCTACCAATTTACAACATTCTATGTATTTGTATTAATTAATGTTTGTTGGTTTTTCACGCAAAAAAATTCTTAACCGATTTTGATGGAATTTTACGCTAACGTAATTTAAACGTAAGAATAAGATATAGGCTATAATTTATCCTCGATTTCCGTGTAATTCCTTCGAAGGTGTATGTATTGTAGCATCTTCATTAACACACTACAAATTTCTGTTAACCCAATTCCCAAGCACACGTGGACGAAGTCGCGGGCAAAAACTATACATCATTTATTATATGCAATGTCTTTTCAATGACTTCTCCGTCTCTCTCTATCTCATCTTCTATCTCTCTCACATCCTGTCCTACGTCACGAATGCCCCAGTTGCATTTACTAGTCACTTCATCCCTGTTTCTCGTGGTATTCATTTAAAATCTAGGTTAATTGGATTACTATATGTCACAAGTTACTATTGTCTCGATGAAAATATTTTTTGTTATATATAAGTATTACCAAAGATAATATTTTTGTATTGTTTTTATTTAACTTCACAAACAGAGTATATATTATTAAATTTAAAATATATTTTATTTAGAGCTATGATAATAAATTGTCATATTTTGTTATGATATTGTCAATTAAATTGTCAATATTAATCTGTCAATGTCTTTGTTACACAAGATGACCTTTAACTTAAGTCAGTTACGGAATCAGTTCAGATTAGGAGCGGAAATATGAATTAAAAGATATTTGAAATTTCTTACTATACTCTTTCGGTTTTATTTTTATTCTCATTATTTTATATATTGTATGCTATATACATATATTTATATCTACTTGCGTATTATATACAGTTGTTTGATTAATGTAAATAACTTTTCAAATTTCTGTATATATATTTCAAAGCAGAAAAAAATGTCAATAACAAAAGTTTTTTAGTTTAGTTTGTTGATGTCATTTTAATAGCAACATTAATGTAACAGTTTATGCTACATTAAAAGCGGTGATTCTTTTCCATTATATATTATCTAACCTAATTAAAGTATGAAGAATTTACAAAAATGTTATTAGGCCTTATATATAGCGTCTTACTTTCATACAGACGATGTCAATTATTTTCTTCATAAATTGAATATAATAGTGTCTACGTAGGTTTATGAGTGAATACCATAAGACTATTCGTTTTGAGTTTGGCGATAAACTCGTAATAAGGCCACAGAAGGAAATAAATAATCATGGATAGGTCAATGATAAGTGTAATTATTAATTAATATGTACGTCACGTTTATATAAATCAATACACTTGGTACAATGAAAAACAGATCAATACATTGTCAGATAAATTTGATAAGGCACAGAGGATTTTAACTTAACTTCGCAAATATATATGTATTTATATGACGTTACATTATTTTTAAAATAGTCGATAAAAATGTGTTAAAATTCATTTCGAATGGAAAAGCGAAAAATCAATGTTTATTTTTAGATTGACTTTAATAAATGAATATATAGTTATATTAAAGTAAGTTTATTAATCTTAATTGATATTTAAATAAGAACTTTTAAAATAATACGAGATTCAGGAAAGTTTCCGAGACTGAACCTTCGCTTACGTAAAACGGTTAGAATAACAAGACATAACATGCAAAGATACGCAATTACAATGTGACATTGCTTTATAAATGCTCACAAAAAATATATATTTGTATTATAATTTTTTAATACATTTATTTGTTACAAATATAATAATCGGTATGAGTTTTTTGTTATTTTTAAATGATTTATTAATTCATTTCTACATTAAGATGTATATTTTCTTACAAAGAATGGTCACTTGAAAGTTTTTGTTTTTGTGATTTCAAGAAGATTTACTACAATTATTGCACATACATACGCACGCACACACACATAAAACTATGTACGTTTACATATATTTATTTTACGTCTTATAATCATTTCTATTATTAATTGCTAACAATTCTCAATTATGATTTACATAATACGGAAATCTTAGACAATAAAAAAATATTGATTATTTAACGGAAACAATAGATGTTATTGATTAGAATGCTACAGTTTTTCATCATTAATTTAACAAAAAAAATATATTATGTCAGTGATTAGAAGAGTAAGAAAAATAAATTAAGAACCAAAACAATCAATAATAAACCTAAGAAACATATGAAAAATATTAATTAAAGGCGTTAAAGATTTCAATACGCTTACCACGAGTCTCAAACGAAATACAGACAGTATTATTATTTTCATTCATACATCTTTTCAAAAACTACAAAACGTGTTTTGCGTGCGCGTGTGTGTGTGCATGTTTATACAGGGTGACTGGTGAATTACTATCGATACTTGAGGACGTGATATTTGACGATCATATATGACAAAATAAAAATAAATATAACATAAATATTAATAAACTTCTAAGTAAAGTTAATCAAAAGTTATGTAATTAATTACGCATCGTATGAACACCCTACAGATTAGGTATACACACACACACACGCGTGCGGTGGCGTGCTGATACAACACTACGCCGCCGCACGCGTCCACACTTGGAACGAGTCCACACTTTATTTATTTATATGGAAATTTGGTCAAAAATTAAGTACCTATTTTTTTTTACATAATTCGAATGAGAATCATGTACCGAGTATTCTCCTTAAATATTGATAGTAATTCACCAGTCACCCTGTATATGTACTAGCTTTCCGCCCGCGTGGAGTCCGGTTATATCCCGTTTCCAAGAGAACCTTTCAAAAGTCTGGAAGAAAAACTATCCCATGTTCTTTCTCAAGGTCAACTCCATCTCTGTACCAAATTTCATTAAAATCAGTTTAGTGGTTTCAACCCCCCTTGTGGGTGGAATTTCGTAAAATTCGTTCTTAGCTGACCTCTACTCGGCGAAAGGAATAATCCTACCAAATTTCAAGTTATGGTTCCAGAGATGTCGTGATGAGTCAATATATAGGTGGAAATCTCTTTAATATAATATATGTTTTATGTATATTTGTATATATTTCAGAGTGTAGCGTTATGCGCGCGCCGGCGAGTGTCGCGTCGGTCGTCCAACGTTGGTCCGAGACGTCGCCGGCGCCCCTCACCGACTATGCGGCGAGGGCGAAGCCCCTGCACGCCAGCCCTGTCTTCCCTTACGACGAGCATCTTAACCAACGGCTGGCGATATGGTAGGTGGTGGGAAATAAATAGGAGCTTGATTATTGTAAACAAATAAAATATTTATTATTTACATATATTAGGGTAATATAATTATAAATAATAGCCAATCTAGTGTGATAGTATTCATAGTTTTTAATATATTGAGTTATAATTATATTGTGTATTTATCAATAAATACTCGTGTAATATTTAATTAGAACAACTCACAATAATAATGTTAGTACACCCTTTGAAATAAAACATCTTAAATAATATTAATAAAATATCTTTGATATCAAAATTTTTAAGTGTAGGTATTCATTTAAAAAGGGTTTTCGGATACTACGCATTATTCTATAACTACATACTAGATTACTATGACTATTATTTATTATTCTATAACTACATACTCCCTACGTTTCGGTTGCTGAAAAGCAAGCATTACAGGCAGACGGGATGAAAATGTCTTTCACTATCAACCGAAATTCGAGATCATATAATAAAAAACCCAAAGCATCAGAAAAACTAAAACTACGACATCATTTTCAATGTTTTCCATTAAACTAATTCCAGGCAAGGCGATATATCAACGCTAGAAGTGGATGCAATCACTAATACAACGGACGAAACGCTTACAGAATGTAACTCAGTCAGTGAGAGGATAATGCAGGCAGCGGGCCCGGACCTTAAAGAAGAAATTATCACTAGAGGCCTGGGTTAGTGTGAAGAAAACTAGCTAGATATATATATATATATTTAAAAGGTACATAAACATCACACATATTCAGCACACATAAACAAGATAAAATACAAAAAAAATCTAAGAACTGATATGAGTGACAATTACAGATGTACACGACATTCATACAAAGAAAAACAATAAAACTTATTGTCTAAATGTTGAATTTAAGTGATAATAAAATAACTATTAAAGAAAAAATCATAAGACCCAATATACAAAATGACAAGAAAAGAGTGACAAAATGTGACTACAGACTAAGATGTTAATAAATGTTGCAGTCATAGTAATGCAATGGACATTATATACAGGGTGACTGGTGAATTACTATCAATATTTAAGGAGCATACTCGGTACATGATTCTCATTCGAATTATGTAAAAAAATAGGTACTTAATTTTTGACCAAATTTCCGTATAAATAAATAAAGTGTGTACATGTTCCAAGTGTTCCAAGTGTGGACGAGTGCGGCGGCGTGCTGATACAACACTACGCCGCCGCCGCGTATGTGTGAGTGTGTGTGTATACCTAATCTGTAGGGTGTTCATACGATGCGTAATTAATTACATAACTTTTGGTTAACTTTACTTAGAAGTTTATTAATATTTATGTTATATTAATTTTTATTTTGTCATATATGATCGTCAAATATCACGTCCTCAAATATCGATAGTAATTCACCAGTCACCCTGTATAATGACTAGATAATGTGATGAATTAATAACTTTATGTTGTGGTTAGGTTCGTTGGGTATGGTTGAGTCAAATTTAAATATAATTTTATTAATCTTACCTAATTTTTATAATACTATCCAAGATATTCTATAAGATGTATCACTTTATCTAAATTGGGTAGACATTATAACAAGAGATCAGATAATGTAATATTCAAATTTATTCCTTTGCCTGTAACATATACATATATTTTGTAGTATCATGACTATGAAAATATCTATATAATTTATCATATCGCCAGTTCTTGGTTATGCCTTGAATACATTAGTAATCAATTAAATTAATATGTTTAAATAACGATTTATTTTATACTTGTTATCTAAAGCAGGTTTTAAGCCATTTTATTTGAAAAACAGTGTATTCACCCTCATGTTGTCACCTTGTTAAACTTTTCATCATACATACTTATTGTTTGTACAATTCCTCTTGTTAGTTATAATGTTCTTTGTATTTATGTTTGGCCCGCGACTTTGTTCATGTGAAACTTTATTTTACTTTCTGGAGCACCATTCTTTTTGTATGTTTGTTTGTTTTACGAGAACTCATGAACTGAATACCATAGAATTTCATTCTATAATATTATGTGTAAAAGTTTGAAAATATGTATTTGTAAATTTCAAAAAAAAATTCAAAAAATTAAACTATTTTTCATTTAACACTATGTGTGTTCTATTATGACAAAATAATAGCAATATTCTTTCAAAACACAAATATCATAAATACTTGATGTAATAGCTTATATGGCAAAGAAGATGAAATTATAATAATCAAATAAATCTCATAAAAACCGTTAGTTTAATTCTAGAAACTCAATTATTAATGTAATAAATTAAAAAATATATTGTTCGTGGAGTCTCTCCGCGCGAAAGAAGTGAAACTTCGTTAAAATGGAATGGAAATATATTTTGAGTGTTTATTTAAAATAAGCTTTATTGACATTGTTTACAAGTCACCATTTATTGTTTGATGTGTTCGAGCGTCACGCATTAGGTAATGCTCTCTTTCTTTTTATATTCTCCCAAACCCCCGCCAGGTGCGTTAAACGTTTAACGCAACCTCGTTAAAAGTGACATAAAACTTATCAAACAATTATACTCTTTAATAAGTGATTTCTTCGGACCCATGACTACTGACTAAAAATATCTTCTTCTACGTATCTCTACTTAATGTCATAAATTTATATGTTTGTCATTAAGTACGAAAGCCGTCTTTGCTTATAAGATATAACATACGCAGCTTAAAACTATAAGTAGCGACAATCAAAGCTCCTATTCACTTCTTCCTGGCAACCTCCCAACCTTAGCCAGGGTCTTCCAAAGTTAATATTCACTATATATAGGTAAAAATAAATGTATTTGATATGTTTTTTCAGAGTGTAGAACGGGCGAGGTTGTTGTAACAAGCGGTTTCAATCTTTCCTGTCGACACATCATACACACGGTCAGCCCTAAATACGTGGCGAAGTATCACACAGCCGCGGAGAGCTCGCTGCATAACTGTTACAAGTATTTACTTACATATATATAATAAACATATAATAATATACGTATTTGGTTTGTGTATATTAAACTAAGCTAAGTAAATTAATAACTTTAATTATAGAATTGATATACTTAAATGTTAGATTGTCAGGTTTTCGGATACGACGTCATTTTAGCATTTTATTTTTACATAATACCAACGTTTCGATTCCTTTACAGTTACAAAGACATCGGGGGTATATAACCTCTTAAAACCTTAAATAATAAAAAAATAAAATATTAGTTTTTTAAAACATTACTTTAGGTTATTAGTCACTTTGATTTGGCGCGAAAAAAGACGTGCATATTTTGTAGGTGACTTAAACAGTACTGAAACTTGTTAACACACATGTTAAAAATATATAAAGTGTGGTAATCTAAACAAAAAATGTAAATGTATTCCGCATATTTTTTCACATATTCGTAAATTCATATAAGAATATTAAATCTTCATAATAAATGCTTTCTTCAATGATAAATATAATCAAAACTGTCCAGCTTACAGTTGTTTGTTCATAGTCTCCTCACATGTTTATACCAGCATAGATTATGAGGGAAAATTCAAAAGTCATACATATGTATGTAATTCAAGAAATGAAAAATTGTTCTACAAATACTAAAATTCCCAATAACGAATGAACCAAGGGTTACGTAAACAGTTATGTTATTCCTATCATCATATATTTATATTAACAAGTCTTATATGTGTTATTATTATCCAGGAACGTGTTACATCGTGCCCGTGAGCTAGGAGTTCGATCCTTAGCGTTGTGTACCATCGCCTCGCCAAGGAAGAACTTCCCGCCAGATCTGTCCGCACACACCGCGCTACGTTAGTATATATACTTTATACTAGATAGTTATACGATGGACATGCTTCGTAGTAGTTATATGGACATTCTTCATAGTTGTAAGACGGATATACTTTATACTAAATAGTTATGTGATGAACATGATTCATAGAAATGAGATGGACATGCTTCGTAGTAGTTATATGGACATAACTCATCGTAGTAAGATGGACATGATTCATTGTAATAAGATGGACAGGATTCATAGTAGTAAGCGGACATGGTTCACAGTAATAAGACGGACATGATATATAATAGTGAGATGGACATGCTTCATAGTAACAAGACAGACTGCTTAGTAGTAGTAATCTGGACATAAGCTTTATAGTGATGAGATAGACATGCCTCATATTTAACTGTAAGTCCAGTTTCATAGTGTGTTATATAACGAATAGGGTATCAAGCCGCTTAACACCTAATAAATACAATTAATACAAACTCCTCACTATCAGTCATCTCTTATCAACTTCTCATATAATTCCAGGCACGGTTCGTCGTTATTTGGAGTTAAACCAATCCCCGCAACTGGTTATTCTATGTTGTACGTCAGAAGCGGGCCCTCTAGTGACGCTAGCGCCGTTATACTTCCCTCGGGACGTAAGAGAGGAGGATGCTGCGCGGTGGAGGTTGAAGGACGCGGGCGGACCCGAGGGACAGCCGTGCCACCACGACCGACGGATAAGGATCATACACAACCCGCACTCACACACTGATAACGGTGAATATTATACACACACACACACACACGCAGACATACACACAGACACACATACATGCATAGGATACAAACAAAATCATAAATAATATAGTATCTTATAAATCGTCTATTTTTATATATCGATAAAATCTCTACCAGATCAAACTTGTTTTGAAGAGTTTTAACTTTAGACCTAGTTTCACCAATCAATGTTTGTTTAATCTAATTTACTGACCAACCTTCAAAATTATAAATGTCTGTTAAAATATTTTTGTCCCACGATGACAAATTAACAACGCATTATTAAATGTCATTTCAAATGACCGACTACCAGATTATTCGTTCTTGTTATAAGATGACGCGTTTGCTACGATGCACCACATTATACTTTGATCGTATATATCCCTCGATACGTCACTTGTAAAGTAATGCGACCAAATTTTATATATCGTTGGTTGCATACATTTGGCACCCAAAAAGCTTTCTTTTCAATTTACTAGGTATTACTTGTCAAAATCGTGTTGTCAATAAATTGTGTTCAAATTATATAAGAAATAAAAAGAAGACTTAATTTGCAATGTCATAGAAAAGCTGGAGGCAAAATCATCATACTAAATGAAATTTTAATTCACTTTATTAATAATAACAAGGAAATAGTCGAAACTGAAAAAACAGATGACGTTACTATGGTTACAAGAAATCACAATTGGACAATTGAGTTTCGACAATGCATTAATTAACATTCTGTTAGCCATTAGACGGAGCTCCAGAGCTGGAATTAATATTAGTGGCTGGTTAAGACATTTAAACGGACATTTGTGCGTGGTGGGACGCTCGATACATCTAACAGAGCAGCAAACAGAGCATCAAACACATTAACACGATGTTACTTATTTAACATTGATTGGTGAAACTGTGTCTTAGTATCTTAAACCAAAACAGATAAATTTAATTTACAAAGACAATCACAAAACTCGTCAAATACTTACCCGCGCAAAAGTGAAGAAACTAATTAATGTCATCGCTTTAACGTCACGTAGGTATACGGAATTTAAAAGTTCGTCTCAAATTAAATTGAAAGTTCAAGAGTATTAAAAAATACTATAGCATTATTAGATTATAAATAATTATCGATTTAAGAAATTTCTAACAGCAATGTTCATAGAGAATAAAGGTAACAAAATTATTCTTATAACCATACTTTTTGTTGTTAGTTACTTACTATAAAATTCAGCTTGGAAGGCAATTAATTAAAAGTATTTTATTTTGTTCACTCGATACGTATAAAAGCGACATCGATATTCTATGTCACGTAACTTCATTCGCATGCTTCTATCATGAAAACGTGCAATCTTGAGAAATGTTATTACCTGTATGTTTTCCGATGTCTTAGTTACATCATTTAAAATTTTAATCAAAATTCGTTTAATACTTTTTGCAAGAGAATATATATATATAATCATATTGTATACTAATTTCTATCCCTTTTATATACTTTGTTTCTTAAGTAAATAACTAAAAATAAAACAATACTTGTTTACGCCATACATTATACCAACTGCGTCTTAATTATTCCATATAAAAAAAACATAGCTTCTGATACAAATTCAACTGATAAGTTCGTCCCATTTCCTTATCGAAGGCTTATCAATGTTTTCAATACTCAGTGATAACGTCATATTGATATAAATCTGACAATCGAGATATTGCCAAAATATACATATATCTGTAAATATGTATTAATATATATATTATTATATATTTTACCCTCATTTTCCTTTGTCTTGATTTTTATATATGTATGTGTGTTTATGTCATGTTATTTTATATATTATTTATCTCAAAAATACTTATTCTTAATGACCTTTCCGACTGTAGTACATTAAATTAAGATTTGTATATCACAAAACCGTGTCAGTAATTAAGAATAGATATTAGTCATACAATCAACAATTTTTTTTGAATTAATCAAGTAATGATTGTGAGTCAAATACCACAAAATGTTCAAAGTATAGCCGTAGCTTATCAGATAATGCGGTCGTGTATCGAGTTATTGACGCATTGCTTTATATAGTTGTGGTGTAGACAAGCGTTGTTCGGGAAAATTTATTATAATAATGGAAATAGTACCGGTACATATTGAAATGAAACCGAGACCTACCGGTGAGTTGTATATAATATTACACTAGTTGTGATCCTCTACTATGTCTGTTAGATATAGTTATGTTTAAATTTGTTTTATGAAAATTATAGTATGAAAAATTCTTTAATAAAAGTGCCTAACTCAAGTTACTGTACATTAGATATTTGTCAGATGAGTTCTGTCAAAATCGGTCTAGCTGTTTAAGAGATTAACTGGAACTAATTGACAACCTGACGGATTTACTTTGTGTAAAATGTTATTTTTGCATATGTATCGTTTATTCTTCGAATTTACTTAGAAGTGTACTGTAATGTAACAAACAGAAAGTTTATTATTTTGTTTTGAGTAATCATAATTTTAGTGTTCGTGTAAAAAAGAATAAAGATTATGTCTTGACATACCTATATTCAAATTTAAGTTGTTTATAATTGATTCACGAACATTTTCAGCATAGGTTTCTCAGCGAGAACTCAATATTTTATTATAGTAGACACAATACAATAATTAGAAAAAAATAATATATTAATCTATCATATGACACGAAACAAAATTTACAATAACACTACTTACGTATAATTGACTCATCATCATCATCATCAGCCTATCAGTGCCCACTGCTGAGCAAAAGCCTCTTCTCATTATGAGAAGGTTTGACCATTAATCACCACGATTACTCATGACTATTATCGTTATAATATTTTGATTTTCTATCCCCAAACAATTCTCTTTTAATAATAATCCAGTCAGATATTCATAATTACAACTCCAGTTTTGAAAAAGGACGCAAAATATGTTTATTTGTATTCTAGTTGAATAGTTGTAGAGATATTTCAATATAAAGATTCATCTATAACAATAAATTTAGACATATGTAGTTGTCTCTACATAATAAAAATACTATGGTATAAATTTTAATTTATTTTTTCTTAGTTAAATGTATTTAATATAAAGTTAATTAAATTTTAAGAAACTACGACATTTATAAGAAAATTATGTTCAGTAGTGTGTTTTTTTTTGGACATACTTAAACGTTATATGAAACAAAGCGGACCAAGACACGTGCAAGAGCCAGTTAATTATATAAAACCAATAACATTATGAAAATAAACGAATATAAACATGATTTAATTTGGATGGTAAAATTAACCAACAATATATATTATTATACGATGTATGTTAAAAAATTAGGGGAATTTGTTTTTTGAAAAAAAAAAATCATTCGTCTACATTAATGTTTGCATCTCCAAAATAATCTTCATTTGATGTAGTTTACTTGCCGGCGCTGTTTAAAATCTTAGAAAGCCTTCAATCTCGATTTATAGGATAGACTTTAGCTCTCCCAGCGATGTAATCTCACCAAAGCGTAACTAGTCGACCCTTTAATATTGTCTCTGGAAATATTAAAAAGTAACATATAGTTGTCTGACGAATATGGTCAGTAATTTTTGGTCAATAATTCACGAACAGAAGATGTACAAGCAGGTTCATTATCATTTATCGTGGTGCAAAAGTAATGAAAGCGTTTTCTATAAATCAGGCGTTTTTCCACAAATTTTATGTCATGAGGCAATCGATATGCCAACACCATCTGGTTCTGTGGTTGTTCTTCTCTTCTTCCTGGGAATTATCCAGCTTTAGCCAGGGTCTGCCTTCCAACATAAACGCCTCCACTTTGCACGGTCTTTGGCATTTGGTTGTTATTCTGTCATTATTCATTAATTCATTTATTGCTATCACTTTCTCCAATTTTCTTGGATCCTTGATGTACTTGTTCGCCCGGGCCATTTGTACTCTTCAATGTTAGAAACGCTTATACCACTAAACTCCATTTACTCATAACAGTCTCAAAATAGGCTTTTCTTAAAAATTTCACGTACATTACTACAATCCATTTTATACAAAATCTTTGATCCATTTCCATTAACAAATGAAATTCGTGAAGCTTATAAGAACACGTTTAATTTTAAGGAATGTAAGAGACAAAGTAACCTTTGAATACAGCAAAAATATTATGATTCCTTAGGGACATGTAAGCCAACGTAAAAAAGAATCCGCCAAAACCCGCGAAATTTGAAAATTTAGGTCACTTTTTTAACACAACTCGTGTACTCGGCTAAAATAATTAAATATAGATACAAATAAATAAAAATGAAATCAAATTCATAATACCATATTAAAAGACATCTAAATTAGTCTCTGATTGACTTTTATTGTATACTAGCTTTCCGCCCGCAGCTTCGCCCGCGTGTAGTTCGGTTATATCGCGTTTCCAAGAGAACTTTTCAAAAGTCTGGGATAAAAACTATCCTATGTTCTTTCTCGAGGTCACCTCTATCTCTGTACCAAATTTCATTAAAATCAGTTTAATAGTTTAGTCGTGAAAGCATAACAGACAGACAGACAGAGTTACTTTCGCATTTATAATATTAGTAGCGATAAAAGTTATTTTAAAAATTACTCACATCATTACATAGAATCCAAACAATAAACATTTCAAGGACAATTTTTTTAAATGAAGACTACTAGCATTATTGATACCATTTTCATAAGCTTAGAAACATCATTATCCATTTTAATCTCAATGTATTTAATATTTTGATTTCAAAAAGCTATGAAATTTAACATACAGAGACAGTAAACTGTTGCAATTAATATGTATCATACATTGTGTACGTATCTTTAGATAGTGTCAGGAGACGCTCTTAATTTGACAAGTAGCCTAATTTAATTTCTTATCTTAGTGTGAAACAACTAAAACAGTGCACGGTTTAAAAGAAATATCCCAAATTTGTTTATTATATGTGATTTATAGGTTTAAAACTGTTATATGTGTGGGTGTTTATGTGTGTGTGTGTGTGTGCAAACTTGCCAAATATCCGGAAACAGGAAGTCATTGAGTGTTCTAACACTAGATGAATGCGTCATGTTATTGTTTCGTAAAACTTTCATTCAATACATATTAATATGATTAATTATGCTTTTGAATTTGATCGTAAGTAATTTTCATATGTATTTTTTTAATAATCACTATCATTATTCATTTTATCGTTTATTCTTATAATTCATTTTCAAGTTATGTTTCGTTAATCCGAAATTGTATATTTTTATAATGGCATTGCTATTAAAATAACGCAGGCGTTGTCTGTATGTTTGTAACAAAATATTTTTGCAGAATTATTCCAATTTTATTGTTCAATATTCTCAAATATTTTGGTTTCACCCTTTCAGTACATTTTTATATTTACACAAGTACTGATTACCCAAAATCTAATGTTATATTCTTGTTGTTTAAAACCAAGTAGAGGTTATATAGACGTACAATTTTATTTTTTGAATTATTTTGTTGATCTGGATAATATTATAATATTGTCCAACAGATGGCGTTGGAAATAGATTTTCTTTCAACATCCTAATGATATGAATTTGATAAATTATAAATGAAATCATTCAATATTTCATTAACAAAAAAATATTATTTAAAAAAATATTAATCTATTTTTATCAAGATTTTATTATATTCTACAAAATTGTTTTTCACCATTTTGCTTTTCAGTTAGACCCTGTTGGAATTGTATTTAAATAACTTTCATTTATTATTCTGACGCTTCCGCAACTTATATTTATTTATGATACATACAGTACTTATTAAAAGACATAAATACATTCTCTCATACTAATTAATTACGTGATTGTGACGATTCATCAAAAAGTATTTACTCCCCAAAAAAGCTGTTTATTTCCTTAAACCATTTGTCGCATTGAACACACTATCTTAAACAAACAACGATAAATGATCTCCGTGATACGAAAAGTCGCATTGCGGTTATTATAAAATTATTATATAACTGGTTTAAGTTTGTATAAGTACACTAAAGAAAATTAATCTAAAACGTAATTTTTATTTAGAGATAAAAAATATACCACAGACTAAAAATATGATACGTATAAAATTAACAAAGATATTAAAATAAATTATATATCTCATCTGTGGCTTAACAGATTCTGAAATCTAAAACCCTTCCTGTTTATTTAAATAAAAAAATATATCTCGATCTCAACTAAATATTTTTAATGTACATACAATTATATGAAAGTAATATTTTCGGATTTTACTTCGAGTTTTTATTTTTGATTACAAACCACATACTCCCAACGTTTCGGCTACTTTTCAGCAACCGTGATCACGGGCAGACGAGATTTGAGTGTCTGTCTACATACAATTTAACCAAATTGTATAAACTATTCGGTCTATACATGGCCATATTTCAACCATACATATATATACACATAGAAACCACTCAATGATGATCTATTTTATGTTATATTTTCTTCTTAGCTGAAGATGATACCTCATTGGACGATGAGACCGCCGCGGAGGCCGCTGCAGCCTTCGCCCGCGCCTGCTCCCCCGACACACAACTATTACTACCGGCTGCCCTGCCACGCCCGCCGCTCAGATACGACACCGACCAGTGAGTACCGACCCTTATATGTATTATTGTAGTACACTAGCTTTCCTCCCGCAGCTTCGACGCGTGGATTTCGGTTATATCGCGTTTCCAAGAGAACCTTTCAAATGTCTGGGATAAAAACTATCCCATGTTCTTTCTCAAGGTCAACTCTATCTCTGTACAAAATTTCTTTAAAATCAGTTCAGTGGTTTAGGCGTGAAAGCGTAACAGACAGGCAGACAGAGTTACTTTCGCATTTATAATATTAGTAGGGATGCCTTACCATTCATTGTTCATAAATATATGAAACTATTACGAACCTTTAAACAATATAATAATACAAGCAGTATTTAAACGATCTATATAAAGAATGTCGTAAATGTATACACAGCCTTATAATACACACTTATTATTGTATCTACTCAGCTCAAAGATATATTTGGACAGAATTAACTATATATATATACATAGCTTTTAGTTCAGTTGTATAAATTATATACGACATTTTTTACTATTTATTTGCACTAAATATTACTACGTATATGAGGTAGTATTCAGTGTGATGTTGCCTTTAAGTCCTTAGTACATAATGTGAATACAGAAACATAAAATCAATTTGCGGTTTTACTATGAGGGCACTTAGTATGAGTATTTTTCAATATGGAACTAAATTTATTTTACTGCATTAATAACAGTAAAAAATTATGGTTACTTAAGGTTATATACTACATAAAATCAATATAATTTTCATTTAAAGACAATGCAAAAAGGTGAAATATGTATTGTTCTTATAAAATAAATATAACGAAAACTGGTAACGCTCCGTAAGCAGTGTCGATGCGGACTTAAAGTAAAAAAAAAACTTTATTCACGAGAGAATTATATTTAATAATCATATTATTTTTAGTTTTCTTCATTTCAATGAAATCATTCGATAAATCTTTCACGTCAAGTCTTAAATGATATTACCATTTCAATCTTCTTCTTCTACCTGGCAATTTCCCAGCTTCAGCCAGGGTTTGCCTTACATGTTGTAAATAGTTTTGGCTAATTGTTTTTACGACCGGCCGCCTGCCTGACATCAACCCTCTTTGGGAAAAATTCAATTTATAATATACATACTAAATAATATATAAATACGTATATTTCATATGTTCTTAATTAAAAATTATATATGCAGCTATATTTAATTGCACTTAAATAAATTGTAGGTGTGGTTATGTTAATATTATATCAGCTTGTGCTAAATAATACTACGAGGAAATGTGACAAGTAAAATATTTGTTTTATACAAAACTGGAATTCAGATAACAGAAATATGCAGTGGATGTTATAAACAATATTTAAACTATGATACGAAGAGACTTAGATATATATTATAAAGAAATGGTTCAAATTATTTGAATAAAAGTTAAAGATTGTTCTTTATTATCTTGTATTCTGCTTCATATAAAACATATAGGTACATATGTATATATATATATATATATATTTATCTTTGTAGAAATCCTTTTAAACGGCTGGACCCATATGAATGTTTTCTTTATATACATTTGGGTGAAATTCTATATAGTTTAGATTCACATATCATCTATCTAGAAATTTGGAATCTAGAAATCTATCGCAGAGTTTTGGTATATACTGCTCACAATTCTGGAACGCTTTTTCTAAGTTTGCATCTTACTATGTACTCACGAAACGTTTCCAGTTTCTCATTCAATAACCTACCTTAATACTATTGTGTGTTGAGATATATGAATGTAAAACTGTGAAGCTCCGTATATAGTGACGATGCGTACTTAGAATTCATTAATATAAATCGATAATACGTAGTAGCCATACTATAAATCAAAATACGTTCAAAATAATGCGTAGGTGACGAGGATATCCAAAAATAGATCCTATATCCGTTGTAATATAGTCTCAAATGTTTTGGTAATAATTTTATTTACACATTTCGCGGGGGTTTAAAAGGAAACGAGCCGTGTGCAAATTTCAATATGGACTTCGACGAAAGATTCGTCCCATTTTCACGATAATCATTGTTTGGACAGTTGGCTGTTTCGCCACAACATCTCCTAAAACTATTTTTGGGCTAAGAAGGATTAAAACAGAACGTAGTTCCTGAAATTATATCTACACAAGATAACGCGTTATCTCCACGAAAATACGCTCGTAACTTGAGTGACGTCGAAATAATTTTTTAACCGAAAGACGGAAAACAAATATATTAAAATTAGAGTTAAAATACACTTTGCCCGTATTAAAAGCTACCGAAATAGATCATATTGAAAACAAACTAATACGCTCAAGGATTATTATAGCATAATTTAAATTTGTAACTATTCGGTTTGCGTTAAAACATTTCCTGTTTTTTTTTTTTACTACAAATAGAATTTCATGGATACCGTACCATATGTTGGATAGAATTTAATTGAAGTCAATGTTAAAGAAAACTAGTTAGGTATACTTATTATCTAACTATACGTCACCCAATACTGGATATTATACCATAATTAATAGATTACTACTATTTCAGTAGTAGCATAGAAATGTCATGTTTGACGTATAATGACAACACACACATTGATGAATCTTCACGTATTGACGTATTATGTTTGTGTGTGTGTGTGTGTGTGTGTGTGTGTCTGTGTGTGTGTGTGTGTGTGTGTGTGTGTGCGTGCGTGTGTGTGTAAGAGATTGGTGGTAGTGTGTGTGATGTTTATTTCAATTAATTTATTGTTAACTAGAAGACCTGGCGAACTTCGTATAGCCCTATAATCAAGAAATATCTATTACGTTTTTTTATTTATATTTTTGGTGTTTACCTGTAAGCCATAAATCTCCGTGTTTTGAAGTGCGACAGAATGATTGACATATTAGTTAGTTATCAAATCTAATGTCCAAGAAAACGTTTGTATGGGAAAGAGAAAAGGGCTGTTTTTATGGTTTTCCCAGTAATGAATCAATTTTTTTCACCTTTTATACCTTCCCTGAACATCTACGACCATTTTAAGACTAAGATAAGATAAATCCGTTCAGCTGTTCTCGAGTTTTAGCGAGACTAAGGAACAGCAATCCATTTTTATATATATAGAAGATAGAAGATAATGCATTTTATAAAAATAAATATCTGTTTATGAACATCTTTTCATATGTACCTACTTTGATTTTAAAAAAACAATATTCATGTTTGAAATTTCATTATAAAGGTTGCGAATTTTTTTGATATAATACTTATAATTTGTTTACTCTGTAAATTTTAATGAGTTTTAAGACTTTAAGTTTCATTTAAATGAAACTAATGTTTTTCGGATATACGACGCGAATTTTATTCCTTTAATAACTACATACTCCCGACGTTTCGGTTACTTTTTAGTGACCGTGATCACGTCTGCCTGTGACTGACTTGACTTTGACTTTTCTGTAACTTTTGTTGAAGTCTACATTCTGTATTCACACTAGAACCATAATATTTAGATGCGACCTACTCCGTATATATTAACTATAATATATTAAACAATAAAGACCCGAATATGTTAGAGACATGACCGCTATCATAAATATTTACTACAAAATCTAGATACACGAAATGTATGAAAAAAAACTGTTTTATTTGAATAATATTTACCTAAACGGATGTTTATTATTCCAATATAAAGCAGTATGTAGAAATGAATCATATATTTTCCTGGACAAACTGTATACTGAAAAAGATTTTACCTGCTTCAATAATACCTTAACATTTTTAAATACATTCTTCGTAGAAGATTCTTTTTAAAAAAATCGAAGACATATTATATTTGAAAAAATATATATATTATTTATATTGCTTTATTTAAGCTATGGTTTCATTCACACTGAATGTGGAGAAAACAAATATTTTTAAGTAGTCTTTTTATTTTTAAGTAGTTTTACACTTATTATTTTTAAGTCGTCTTTCTATTCGATTATTGAGTTACATACGAAGCATCACCATTATTTTCATTACTTAATCTTGTCATATAGTATTAACGTAGCTTATTGAATGAGAAACCAAAAACGTTACGTATGTAGTGACGATGGAAACTTGTATTAAGCGTACACGACCCTGGTCGAAATAATATCTTTTACGTGACAGTACAACTATCGAGTCAGTGTAGAGGAAAATGCTTGTATAAATTTCAAATTAATATTGTTACTTCTATCGCTTTTATAAGTAAAATTCTATACATTTAAAAGCCAAATTTTTTTTTTATACATTTTAATGTAAATGTATTATTATATAAGTATTACTATAAATAACTTTGACTGGATCAGTTCTAATAGAAATAAATACATAATTACCCACTTATATAAAGTATATAAATTACTAAATATATATTATGTAGAGTGAAGAAGTTAAATATTATACTCATTTGTCGTACTTCTAAGTTTTCGTAAAAGATTTATTGCAATAATTTTTCTATTGTTGTTTCAAGTAAAGCAAAAAAATTAGATTTAATATGAAAATTATTTATTTGTGTAATAGTTTTAGAAAATAGATTTTTTTCTATTGTATTCATTTAAGTTATTGAAATTGAATGATTGGAAAATTTAAACGGTAAGTTTATGCAGGAGGTTGCCTTCAAAGAGTTGCATAGAGGTTTGATCACAAGGTCTTTGAGATAACAGTATTGTGTTGAATCTCATGAATATATTATAATATATGTATATATATATATATATACAGTGAGTCTATCATTATATATAATAATTATTAATTTATACCTATGTGCATTATTTATTTTCTTTGACGTACTTTTCAAATTTATTTTGTTTAATTGTCTTTGAATAAGCAATTGTAGTATCCCTAATATTACATTGTCATGATTACTAATACCGAGATTGTGAAGTTTCTTTCAAGTATCAACGCCGAATTATAACTTACAATATTTATATGTCAATTTAATATGACGAAGAATTAATATGAATCTACAAAAAATGATTTAATTATTTTTTATACAGAAATTCTCTTCAAACAATATAAGACGTTCTGTCTTTCAAGTATTACTAATTATATATATATATATTATATATATATATATATATATAGTGTTACACATAATGATCCGTCTTCATTATAAGTCAACAAGCTATCAAACTACACCGCAGTGTGACGCGACCCTTATCATTGTAAATATTGACGAACTGAACAACAGAGTTACTGTTCAAATATATATCAAACAAGCGTTATATAAAATAGTACTGAAATAATATGAAAATACATGATTTTTAATCCAATGATATATGATATTCTTTATGACTTTGAAACTTTAATTTTCGTATATATACTAAAGTCTAAACAGATTTATAAATACATTTAACATCTATCTATCTATCTTTTAGTTACTTCACAGCAAGAGGTGATAGTTAAAATTCTTTTTAAGTACGTATTAGCGAAAATCTTTTTAAAATTATGAATGAGCATTTCGTTGCAACTTTATTTCGTTTTAGTTTCTTAGTAATTAGTATTTTTCGGTTGTAATATTTTAAATTATATAAAATTTATACTTGTAGGTATAGGTTTGAATAAAACATTTGGGAAAAACCATATAAAATCACTGACAACCTAATATTATTATGGTTCAAACAAATATTATATTACTTAAATTATATATATGATAGTATATATATGTATGTATAAGTATGTGTACATTTATTCTTTTAAATTAATCGACTTTTCAATCAAAGTTATTTATTTCCGATAATAATAGAATAACTTTCTTTGTTCAAAGATCGATGTACGATAAACTAAATACATACTTACTTTGTTAATAAATAAACCGTCTCCGTTTTATTTATTCAGACATTTCGTTGTTTTGTGTTTTGTTAAATGAAACGAAATTTTTTAATATCTTTATATAGAATATATTTTTGGATAAAAAATATTATTGATTTGTAATTAAAGGTATAAGTATATTCATTCTTATATTAATTGTATTAAGTACTTTATAAGAGAATTGATTTAAACCAAGTTACATACAATCCAATGACCTTTACTCAGTGACATTGAGATGACATTTCCCAAAATTTTTCTAGAAGCTATTGTTTTTCTTTTGTTCTTAGTTTGTTAATAGATATTTGATCATGGTAATATTTGGTTGAAGTATATTTTGATTTAAATGAATTTTTATTGAATTAAATCGTATGGATTTATTATTGAATGTAATTTTCACATGCTGATATTATATTGTCATAAAAAAAATGTAGCAAAAATATTATAATCCAACAGTAAATAATTAAATAAAAATATGTATCAAAAATTAATAATTTTATTATAATTTCAAAATTAAAATCTATTTAATATCTATAGACGTTATTAAAATATAAATATTAAATTTTTTATTTGTATTACCTATATAATGTTGACAAAAAAAATTGTCTTTAAATATAATTATTACACTTTAATTAAATAATAATATTTCGGATATGTTTATTTTGATTTTCGTCGGAACTAAACAGTATTTCCAATACAATCAACGTTTGACCTTTCCTTTGAATCTTCACACATTCTATTAAGAACGTAGGTGGGGAAATTTCACCCTGACGTTAGCTCGCTCAATGCGACCCCCAGACTTCAGTTGAGACGCGATCTTCGTAGCGTACGGACGTGTTACAAATATAATACATATAAAATATCAAGCAGTGGTTTATATAGAGTGTTTATTGATTGTATAGTAAACGAAACTATTGTGTCGGTCGGTTCATGTATGTAAAATTAGTTTCTGTTTTGAAGCGAATGTTTTAAACGTGTTTTCATGTGCGACGTTATTATAAATAGTCCTAAACGATCGAATCACAGAAATATAGACGTAGCAATATTTTATATTATATATTTTAGTGAATAGTTTTAATAGTATAAGAAAATGCTTGGAATCATATATTTGTCGAAAATTTATAGTGTTTTTTGATATATAAAATGTAATTAGCGTGTAATTTTATTCGGATTTATATAAAGATATAAAATAATTATGCTTTATTATAAATTTAATGTGGATTCAATCGATTTCACAGATTTTTTTTTATTATTTCATCATTCCATCGTTATAAAAATCCATATAGTAATACTATTGAAATCTTAAAATATGTCAGATTTTTTTTTAATTATTACATAAAACGTAATTGTTTCAACAATTATCAGCTGTTTTATCATCGCGTGAATACAAACTGATCGTGAGAACTTACAGCGTTTAGAATGAATAATGTAACTTATACAATATTTATAATATTAATTGTCTATTATAATACAAAAAACGATTAAAATGTTCCACTTTATAAAAGTTTACGTAAAAGAATCGGTACGTTTAACACGACCTTGTTAACGAAAGGAATACCGACAGTATAACGTTCTATCACATTTTATAATGTACTAGCTTTCAACCCGCAGCTTCGCCCGCGTGGAGTTCGGTTATATCGCGTTTTCAAGAGAACCTTACAAAATTCTGGGATAAAAACTATCCTATGTTCTTTCTCAAGGTCAACTATATCTCTGTACCAAATTTCATTAAAATCAAATCAGTGGTTTAAGCGTGAAAGCGTAACAGACAGACAGACAGAGTTACTTTCGCATTTATAATATTAGTAGGGATACTAAAAACTTTGTTTTAACGATGAAAACTCGTACTAAGGTAACAGCTACTTAGTTTATAAATATTGATACTTCCCGACAGTAATGTTATCATTTGACGTAATTGTTTTAATAAAAAATAAATTTAATAGTGAGCATTTGTCAGTATGAGGTAAAGAGATCAATGTCGCCAAGTTTACTTGAATTAAATACTGCTATTTAATAAGGATTTCGTAATGATTTTAACTTTATTACTGCAATTACTTTCATATGTAATTTCGATTGAGTAAAAAGTTACTCAATATCAACAAAATAAATCGTAAAAATATTCTATATATAAATTAGTAAATACAGTAAGTTCTTATAAAATTTAAGTAATTTTTTATATAGATAACTATGGAGGTTTAAAATAACAATCTTTTTGGTTGAATTTTTTTTTAAGGATGTATTTCGTGTTATTATAATGAGCTATTTTTTATAATAATTACATATATAACAATATAATCGCTACATATTCAATGTCTCCCACACGGAACTCGTCTAAGGTGAACAGTAATCTCTATAAAGAATCCTTATAACAAACAACGGCTAGTACACTCCGGTTTAATAATCCGACCAACATGAGCTTCAAGACACGTTGAATATAAAATTGAAGTTAAATCTCCAAAAAAATGCGTATTTTTGTAAAGATTCAATTTAGTTGTATAAAGTTTGGGACTGTCTTTGCACAGATAGGACATATTTTAAACAACCAACCAATGTTGTAACTATTTTATTTTCATCTTTTTTACCTACATACAGGGTGACTGGTGAATTACTATCAATATTTAAGGAGAATACTCGGTACATGATTCTTATACGAATTATGTAAAAAAATTAGGTACCTAATTTTTGACCAAATTTCCGTATAAATAAATAAAGTGTGGACACGTTCCAAGTGTTCCAAGTGTGGACGCGTGCGGCGGCGTGCTGATACAACACTACGCCGCCGCACGCTTGTGTGTGTGTGTGTGTATACCTAATCTGTAGGGTGCTCACACGATGCGTAATTAATTACATAACTTTTGGTTAACTTTACTTAGAAGTTTATTAATATTTATGTTATATTAATTTTTATTTTGTCATATATGCTCGTCAAATATCACGTCCTCAAATATCGATGGTAATTCACCAGTCACCCTGTATACCTCACAATATTTTTAACAGATTTGAAAAAAATATATTAAAATGATATGATTTCGTGTAATATAAGTAACTGTCATTATTTTTTATATTTGTCGCAAAAAAGTATATAAAGTGTTAGTGTATTATATTACCTTTTATTATTATTCTGCTGTTAGATATCTCCTTCATGTTTTACCTTCGTAGCCGTAGATATAAATACGACTAAGTTAAGTGATTACTAGTGACGTACCACAAATATTACTATCAATATCCGAAGACCAAGAAACATCCCTATCCGATTCTTTTTAGCTGGATACTTATGGAAGTTTTTTTCGTATTCAATCTCAATATTTGGATGGAATTATGTAGAATTAAAGAAGTATATAGAAAATAAAAAACCAAAGAAATGTACTAAACATATTCATTTAAATCGTCAAGTATCGTCAACTGTTGCTTCAAGATAGTTCATAAATTACTATCGTATAGAATATTTCGATCTATATTCATCGATACATCGTTTCAGTGGCTATGCACATCACTAGTGGTTACTGTAAGTTCTACTCGTTCTTGGTTCGGTCAGCTATCAGGTTGCAATACAAAACGTAACTATATTGTAATGTTGACTCATTCCTTATGACCTAAGAATACTGTGTAAATTATCATCTATGACTCTCATTCCATTATAATATGGATCGCATAAAAAAATATTATACAACTAGCTTTCCGCCCGCAGCTTCTCCCTCGTGGAGTTCGGTCATATCGCGTTTCCAAGAAAACCTTTCAAAAGTCTGGGATAAAAACTATCCTATATTCTTTCTCAAGGTCAGCTCTATCTCTGTACCAAATTTCATTAAAATCAGTTCAGTGGTTTAGGCGTGAAAGCGTAACAGACAGACAGAGTTACTTTCGCATTTATAATATTAGTAGGGATAAACAAACCAAGCAAAATAAGTTCTTTTTTAACTCGTTCTTAATATGCGGTTTATATATTATAAAAAAACTGTTTAAAAATATCGCGTGAAGCAACATTGTGAAGTTAACCGTAGATTAATATCTGCATAACAATAATTATAATTTTATTCATTCTAATGTAACCGATGACACAATAGTTTTAATATAGCGCAGTTCATGAGTTGTATGAGAGAATTGACGTTTTTAAGACAGTGAATAGTGTTAAAATGGCTATGGAGACTATGGCTGTTGAATTGCCTGATCTAAATACACTCGCGCCTCAACCACCGGCTGAGGAAACGGCTGAGGAAAAGTAAGTAAAGATTTAACAAAGAAAAACAATCTACTTAGCAAAAAAAACCTTTGTTTTTGATACTGAATTTACCTTAAAACCTCGCTCATTCTTAATAAAGCATCAAGTAACATTTAATTATTGTAATAATTGTGTTTTTCATCCGACTTCCCGCTATTTTTTGTCTTGTTTACAAATGATGGTACATTGTTAACATTTAATAGACTTATATTTTTAAATGTATAATGTTGGTATGAAAATTAAAATTTGTGTACTTGTAGATTTAATTTGCGTATATACTTAATGCTGATTCCCAAAGAGGGTTGATGTCAGGCAGGCGATTTAAAAACAAATAGCCAAAACTATCCACAACATGTAAGGCTGATCCTGGCTATAGCTGGGAAATTGCCAGGTAGAATAAAAGAGTATCAAAGAAAAATTTCAAGATAAGATCTTTCTTGTCATCAAAATCCGTCTAGTGGTCAGTGTTGGTCCGAACCTCATTAGTATAAGCGAATCAGCTGTTTCTATTAATGAGGATTTTATTTAACAGCGGGAGCTGTTCCCGTGACACATTTAGGTCAGCCGGTATTGATTGTACAGTCTATGGTGACGTCATCATGAATACATTTTTATACTCGTCTTGGTGACATCGGTATATCATATTACGTACCTACTTACTGACTTGGTCTTAAGACTATGAGAAAACAGAATATATCTTTAGAGAACAGAAGAAATATCACACTATCTCTCTCTCTCTTTCTCTCTGTCTCTTTCTTGCAAAAAGCTTCGTATTTCGTTTTTAATACCGTCTGTATTGTCATTACGTTTTATGACCTCCTCAAAAAGTTTCATGTTAAGTAAATATTTATGACTATTTCTGCCTTCCGATTTTAACGTTGATTAGTATCATGGAATAACCTTGACTATTATAAAGACCTACTAGATTTTCGACACACTCATATAAATCTAAAGAATTAATTCAAGAATTAGACCAGATATTCTGAGAGTCGTGTTTCACAAGGCAAATAATCTGGCTCGAAAAATATTACGATTCTTGACTGATCCGGGGAAGCTGAATTTTAGAACTTATAAGACCTGTTAACTTCTCTAAACCTTCAAAAGACAGGGACGGACTGCGATCAGTCTTTAGTCCAAGTCTATCCATGTTTTTAGTTCATACATAGAATCATACAGTCATATATATGTGCAGTCATCTACCCATGGACTAAAGACATTAGCGTGCCATGTCAACATGAGACTCTTATAAAAGTATGTGACCTATCTCCTGATTCGTATTCTTCGGTATCAAGATTATCATCAAATATGACCCATCAAATTTGATGATAATCAATAAATTCAGTGTCTTCCAAATTGATCTACTACTGGCTTTTCCCAAAAAAAAAATATAGACTTTCCATACAAAATATTGTGTATACAGTTATCCAGTTATACATCGTATGATGAACATAAAAATTATTTGTTTACGAAAAATAAACAAGCCAAAGTACAATAATATATTCTTTAGAATGTGAACTAAGAAACACAATTATTAATATATGTATATAATTTCAAATTCATGCCGTCTTTCCTCGTCTCGCGATTTGAATCATGATCTCAATAAATTTTGTAATACCTAAACATATGTACTACAAGCTCATGAAAAAATGTTCAAAAATCGCTTGTATAGAGCTCTCTTCTTCTTCTTCCTGGCAATGTTCCAGCTTTAGCCAGGGTCTGCCTTACATGTTGTGAATAGTTTTGGCTAATTGTTTTACGACCGGCCGCCTGCCTGATATCAAACCTCTTTGGGAAAAAGAACCGCTTGCCGCTGTATATGCTTGTATATGTGGCTTTAAACATACAAATTACTAACATAGTCCATGAGATTTACTTAAAAAATTATACTACGATTTTTTTTTATTAATTATGTAGTTTTAAAACATATTTATACCGCACCATGCTTATACATGACCGACATTTACGTGTTCAGAGCACGCGTCGTGGAAAACTACTGGATACTGCATAGATCTCAATTAAATCCAACTTTTCACACACACTTGGTTATAAATTAATGCGATATATTCATTAAAATAAACTTTATAAAGTTTTAAATACAATTTCTATAAGCATTAAGTGATGTGTTTTGTTTCAAATAGTCAAACTTTATTAATATGTATCGGCGCAGACGAAGTCGCGGAATTTAGTTAAGTATTAAAATACATGCGAACATGATCTAATAAGTGGTTTTGTTACTCTTTCTACTAAAAGTTTTGTAAAAATTCTCATACAATCTTATATTAATGTAGCGTTAACATAAAAAGGCGACAAATAAATGTATAAGCATATATAAAATTTGTACCAAAATCTAAGTCTAATATCAAGCTTTTATATCGATTTATTTATATGTATAGGAAATTTACGTATCGTTTGCACAAACATGATATGAAGCCATTCACTTTAATTGGTTTTAAAATGTTTCATATTTATAAAGCTTTTAAAAGCATCGCAATATGCTTGTAAATAAAATACTATCACCACATATTAAGTCTTTATCATACAAAGTATATTTATATCAAACATTTATTTGTAATTATTTCAATTATGTCGCAAATAATATTTATTTAAAAAAACTATTTTCTCTTCATTGTACTTTCATAATAATATGTGGTATCGAATATGTACGTACCATTATTACTATCTGATTATTGAGCGTATAAACATATAGTTTAGTAGTTTTTCATTCATAAATAGTTTTCGTTGATGATAATGTAAGAAGAGTTTCATTATTCATACTCATACTAAGGACTTGGTAGTGAACTAACGTGAATTCTCTGGCGATCTTCCAAGTACCCGCGTGGGTACGTCGATCTTAGAGTAATAAGGATTTTAAAAACACGTTATAAATATACATCAAAACAATACGCAGTAGCTTCAGTTAACGTCTTTGTTTTTAAGAAATAATGAGTAACGTAAACGTAAATCTAGGCTACGTTCATAGTTATAGGAAAATTTGTATTGTTAAACCATACTGACGCTGCTATAAACGACATTGGATTTTAAATTCTATATCCACGTTCTTCTACTTCTTCTACCTGGCAATTTCCCAGCTTTAGCCAGCTTTTCCCAGGGTCTGCCTTACATGTTGTGATTCGTTTTTGGCTAATTGTTTTTACGACCGGCCGCCTGCCTGACATCAACCTTCTTTGGGAATGCATTAATCAGTGATGTCTAAATACTCTTAGAAAGTACATATGACTCGGAAAAATCACATTGGTACTTGCCAGGATCGAACCCGCGCCCTAGTGCATGATAGGCGGACCTTTCAACCGCTAGGCCACCACTGACTTTACAATTCTATATCCACGTATAAATAAAACAGTATGTAGTAGATCCAGTTTTCAGTAGTACGCCGTTCATTTTCGTTATTCATGATTCTGTTGGTTCGTAGTGACCTTACTCGTTATATTTTTGGACGGACACAAATAGAAACGGAAATGTTACATTACTATTGAAATCACTATCAGAAACATCGGCTGTTTGAACATTAGTGAGGATGGAGAAGGTCACACAGACATCAAATATTTATATGAAAAACTATTTATAATACACCTACTTTGATATTCTATAAATGTTAATGAGTGAAAAATATTTTGACGCGCAAATATTTTGCTTTGGTAAAGTTTTTTAGTTTTACAAAAAATTGATTTATATTAAATGTAAACAAAATTTAATTAATATTTCTTTCGTTAATGCTTTCAAAATATACAGGATACTTGAGGACGTGATATTTGACGATCATATATGACAAAATAAAAATTAATATAACATAAATATTAATAAACTTCTAAGTAAAGTTAACCAAAAGTTATGTCATTAATTACGCATCGTGTGAACACTCTACAGATTAGGTATACACACACACACACACATACGCACATACGTATCAGCACGCCGCCGTACGAGTCCACACTTGGAACACTTGGAACGTATCCACACTTTATTTATTTATACGGAAATTTGATCAAAAATTAAGTGCCTATTTTTTTTACATAATTCGAATGAGAATCATGTACCGAGTATGCTCCTTAAATATTGATAGTAATTCACCAGTCACCCTGTATATAAAGAATTTATTATTTTATCAATTACTTAAGGTATTTTAACAAAAAAAAATTTGCCATAAAACAATATTTTCTTGCAATTACCACTGTATACTTTAACATAATATTATACTTTGTATATCAATGAACATACGTAACTTATAGCATTTCTAAATGTAATATAAAATTACTATATACATATTAAATGTATAAATAATTATAAAAAAAGTGCTCTTTATATACAGATGAATCACATTGTTGTTTGTCGTTCTGTTATACAATGCGTCGCTGGAAGGTCGTTAAATATTAATAATCACAGTTATAATATAAATAAGATATTCGCGTTTCACTAAATCCCATCCGGTGTGATGTTTGCTCGTGATGATTGTGATAAAACACGAAGCTATCAGGGCTGTCACTCGCTTAAAAAAAATATACACGAAAATACATAATCTAAAAGACATTTTCGTAACCTAAGTATGCCATAAAGTATTAAATTTATTTCTATTTATCTAAAAAAAAATATTATTAAGTGTCAACCCTAACTACAAAACACGCAGCCACACAAACAATCATTAAAAGTTTTAATGACTCGTCACTGAGATACCAAGCGCAAATAATATGACAATGTTAGTTTACTCAAAAATAAACTACAATAAAAATATTTTAAATCTTTTAAATGTTAGTTCTTGATTTAAAGTATATATAATATAATGCTTTGATAATCAAAAGAATTCTATTATTACTTACAAATGATAAAACATATAAATTTATATAGTATTTGAATTATCTTTAGCTCAACCTAAGAAGAATCATATTGTATTTATTTCCATCCATAAAGTACCTCACACGAATTAAAATACTTTTGAAACCCTCCCTTCGTCTTTGTCACAGGTTTTCATATTTTTATAAACCCCCCCCCCCCCCCCTATTGTGACGTCACACATTTCTTAAACTTCCCTAAATCTAATTAAATCCATGCCATTAAAAAATCCCGTGAATTTGAGTGCTCACTACATTACAATTTACAGTGCCGCACTAGAAGTTAAACGACGATTATCACACAGCAATAATTCGGAATTATTAATAGATATAGTTCAAGTTCGTAATTTTTAAACTTCAATTTATTTCCAAACTTTGCGTTGTAGTATTTTAAATATATGACGTCAAAACTATAGACCCCCCCCCCCCCTTGTCTCACTTGGGCTATACCCTCCCTCCCAATTAACATATGACGTACTTTATAGATAGCCCCGTATTATGAAAGTTATGACTTAATAATAATTACTATTAAATTATTATAACATTATTTATATGTTCTTCTTCAGATACGAGCGTCTTCTCCGTCGAGCACGTAGCGAGGATCTGAGTGAAGTATCTGGTATAGGATGCTTATACCAAAGCGGCGTAGACAGACTCGGGAGACCGGTGGTAGTATTCATCGGCAAATGGTTCCCCATCACCGAAATAGATCTCGACAAGGTAAGGAAACAAATAAACTTACCACAAGTTTGAAGTTAAACTACGTACGGACCGTTTGTAGTTCTGACGAATATTTTCGCATATTATCAATTAAGATTCATCAATTGGAAACTTTGAAGTCGTGATATTAAACTATCTAGATTCTAATATGACTATTAAATCTTGTTAAGAGAATAATGACAAGTCTTTCCCAATTATAAACCGAGGAAATTTTCTCCAACTATATATAAAATTTACTCTTAATAGTTTTCAAGATTATCTACCGTGTGACTTGTTTATTTTAACACGAAAGCTGTTATAACAACATTAATTGCTACACGTACAAACATCACCGTACGTAGTATGAACAAACACTTAATCAATCGTCTAGACTGAAACCGTATATACATTTACAATAATTTTTCTCATTATCATTTTCAATTTATTTTTATCGATGTTTTTCCTACATTCTTAGTTCAATTGAAACTATATATACCTTAAATGTTAAATTGAAATTAGCTATGATAATTAAATTTGTCATTATTTTTATATGGATATTAAATTATTTTAAAGAAATAATAACATACATCATACGTCCATAACGAAGAATATCCCAACACTTTACTAGATTAAACATGACCTAGGTCAAAATTTATTAATTTCTAAGATATTTACTTAATAAAACATGTTCCAATACTTTAATTTTTTCCCCAGGCTTTATTATATCTCATCAAGTTACTGGATCCTATAGTTCGTGGTGATTACGTCATAGCATACTTCCACACGCTGGCTTCGTCAAACAATCATCCACCCTTCTCATGGCTGAAGGAGGTTTATACCGTGCTGCCTTATAAGTAAGTACATTTATTATAAACTAGCTGAATCCCGCTGTGTTACCCGCGGATTTCCGGGGTGTAAAGTAGCCTATGTTTTATTCGTGGACGTCAGCTTCCTGTATACAAAATTTTTTCAAAATTGTTTCAGCCGTTTGAGCGTGAAGAAGTAACAAACACTCACAAACTTTCGCAATTATAATATTAAGTAGGATAAAATTGTATACATATTTCTTAGTAAACAGAATGACTAAAATAATCTTCAAATGGAATTTTGCTGATAAATGAAAGTAATTTAAATTCTCTCACATAATCTATTTAACTAAAATTCTAATTAGGATGTATTTTAAGTTGATTATTATTGTAAATTGTCATATGGTTAATAGATGAAACATGATATATATAATTATTTGAACTCAATATGTACTTTATATATGTAAATTATATTTAAGATATACCAATTGTATTTATATATTACTATGATATATGTAGATCGTCTTTATATTATTCATAAGTTATATTAAGTCGTCCCACACTTATGTTAATATCTCCGACTCATTCTTGTGACTGTTTTTTTATTATTGGTCTCTTCAACCAAATATAGATATAGCTTTGTTGTCTAGGTATTTTAAGTATTCAATGTTATATTTATGTATATATTTTATTTTTTCAGATATAAGAAGAATTTGAAAGCCTTTTACATAGTACATCCTACGTTTTGGACAAAGGTGAGAATTACTACATATATAACAAAATTAGTCATAGTTAATATATTTATTTAATGCATGCCAAAGAAAAATTGTATAACATACATTTGAAGGGAAATATTGATGGCAATTTCACTAAATGCTAACAGAAATTATGCAGGTTTTAAGAAAGTCTATTTTAGAACTTATTTCTTATATTATAAACAATATCTAAATAATATATGTATAAATATTGTGTGTAAAATGAGTCATGTCCATATTAAAGGTACAGTCATACATGCACACATCAATAGTGACTAATTTGTCATAATTTCCTTATCACATTACAACATATTTTCTAAATTAAGACAATGACGTTAAATATTTGTATGTTAACAAGTATACCTTTGAATTAACACTAAAACTTTCGTAGATACACCTGTGTATTATTTTATACATTGTGTGTAGGCAAAAAATAACTTATAATTAATTAATTAAACATTCATTTTATACTGTTTTTTCTTTCTTTTTTTAAACAATTTGAAGCACCCAGCCTGTCTTATAATTCTAATTTTTATGACGCAGTCTTCATATTCTATTAAAAGTATGGGGAAAAAAAATATATTTATTCTATAAATACATTATTCAATGTGAAAAATATATCATAGAGGCCAGAGCTCAAAGTCAACATAAATACTATTGATAAAGTTTGATATGTATGTAGAAGAATAAGTTCCTTACTTAAACTTAAAAAATCCCTATACCATGCATACTACATAATAATTAATAACCATACAGTCTGTAATCTCTACTAATATTATAAATGCGAAAGTAACTCTGTCTGTTACTCTTTCACGCCTAAACCACTGAACTGATTTTAATGAAATTTGGTACAGAGATAGAGTTGACCTTGAGAAAGAACATAGGATAGTTGTTATCCCAGACTTTTGAAAGGTTCTCTTGGAAACGCTATATAACCGAACACCACGCTGGCGAAGCTGCGGGCGGAAAGCTAGTAATATATAATGTGTCAATTAAGATACTAAAGTTTTATAATCTGTATTTCAGATGATGACGTGGTGGTTCACAACATTCATGGCGCCTGCCATCAAGGCAAAGGTCCACACACTGCCAGGCGTCGAGTATTTATACTCTGTGATGGCTAGAGATCAGCTTGAGGTTCCCGCCTTCGTCACAGAATACGATATGACGGTACGTTCAGACGTACACACTCATAGTAATATATATAACACAGGCAAATATACTTTTACTAGAAGACCCGGCGCACTTCGTATCGCCCTATAATCAAGAAATATCTGTTACGTTTTTTTATTTGGAGTTCACCTATTAAATCCATAAATCTCCGTGTTTTGAAATGCGACAGAATGATTGACATATTAGTTAGTTGTCAAATCTAATGTCAAAAAAAGTTTGTATCAACAACTACTAATAAATTAAAAATTAATTAAAAAAACATTATCCAACGGACGAAATTGTGAATCTAAACAATTCCCAGATCCCCTTGAACACACACAAAAAATTCATTAAAATCGGTCCAGTCGTTTGAGAGAAGTTCAGTGACATACACACTCACAGAAGAATTATATATATAAAGATATCCTACCCACGCACATACTCAAGAATGCAGAGTGAAGTCATTGCTCTTTAACACAAAAAATTATAGAATAGATTTTGATGTTACTTTCCAGTGAAATTGCTTAAATATAGATAATAAATAATTATGACAAATATTTTGAAATCTACACAATAATAGTCTGTCATATAGTCATTATTAATCCCTACTATGTAATATTATAAATGCGAAAGTAACTCTGTCTGTCTGTTACGCTTTCACGCTATAACCACTGAACTGATTTCAATGAAATTTGGTACAGAGGTAGAGTTGACCTTGAGAAAGAACATAGGATAGTTTTTATCCGAGGCTTTTGAAAAGTTCTCTTGGAAACGCGATATAACCAAACTCCACGCGGGCGAAGCTGCGGGAGTCCAATCCCAAAATCATTGGATATAGTCACAGACAAACTACTGATCTATAAAGTAACATCCTAGGAGCCTTATTTATATAATAATTAGTTTTTTTTTTATAATTCCAGATAAACGGCCTGCACTACTTCCAACCAGACACAAGCAACACGTAGACCGCACACAACCACACGCCGCCATATATAGTTTAAGTTGTTGTATTATAAAATAAATATATTTTACGATATCCATTAACGCTATTTCATATTCGTTTGTGATAGTGTAGAACGCGTCACGTGATATATACAACTGATGCGTACGACAAGCTTTAAAATGTTGAAGTGTTTTGAATAAGAAATGCAATAAACAAGCTCACCATATAAATGTTATCGCGTTATTCAAATACTTAGAAGGGCCTAGGACTTGACGTTTGACATTTATGAAACAGTCAACGTCAGTAAAGCGAAATTATTGTTTGTCACAATGGCGGCTTCCGATGTAAAAGTGGCTTATGAATAATTAAAATTATTTTCTATACAACTTAAAAAAAACAACAAAACATATCAAATATTGATGTAGGACTCGAATGCCTTAAATATTTGACCAACAATCTGTTATATTTTTAGATTTAACGAAGTTATAGCATGTTGATATCTAAACAGTGTCGAACAATTAAGTTGTATAGAAAGTGTTAGAAATCGTTGAATTTGAAATGGTATTAGCGGTGCATTTTATATGTTGTAAGTTATAATAACTATTATTGGATTTTATTGTTTAATGTATTTAGCTTTATGTTTTTTTTTAATATAAGGCACAGATAAAATAATAGACAATTCCATATTAAATAACAAAGAAATGTTCGTTCTATACTACATATATTCCTGGTTTACAAAATTTCAATAATCTCATTTATATTAGCCAATCTCTGTTCATCTGTGCCGGCTCTGTCTTAACACTTTCATCATAGTATATTGTTGACAGGGTAAAAAAATAAAAATTATATTAGAAATGAGATTTCATTACCCAGATTATTATTTATTTTTATACAGGAATTAAAACATTATTAGAATTCGCAATACAAATATGCTCTTATAAGATATATTAATGTTATGAAAGTTCACAATTTATTCTAGTTTTAGGAATTTTCAATAAAATTTCGTGATGTATTCTTATAAGGTGCTCGCGTTTGAGATTTATATTTTTATTTTATCAGTTCGTAACTCGTAAATAGCTCACGACGCCTCGCGTGTAGCGTAGTTTGTGAGGTTAGAGCTACAGTAGACTATTCATTAGCAATAAACTTAAAATTCAGTTGAACATTTTCCGTTAATATTCTTAGCTTTTGTATGTAACGATGAATACACAGAGTGGCTGTTCTAGGTGCAATTATCACCACTGCCAATATACGCGATTCGCTACACATTCACAATAGTGAGATTATTGCAGGGTTACATTAAAGTAGACTCTGTGGCAGTACAAAATGTTGAATTTATTATACATTTATTTTTCTACCGTTCACTTATCGGACAAATTAGAAGATTCCATTACCTATACAAATCTCATTACAATTTCACAATATAAATTTTTTATCTTACCTTAATGGCTATTTAGCCTAATCCAATAATAAAATAAATGAAATTTGATGTTTGTAATATAGATTTTTTTTATTTAAAATAAAGTGATATTTTTGTAACATCACAATACCCTGAATGTGCCACATATTTCAGTAGTTACATTAGTAGCGAGATGCTACTTACAGTGGTAGTGCTAAAGCTATTTGTGTAATGTTATATAATATATAAGAGTTTTAACACATTTTTGAATAAGTATTTTCCATAAATCCTTCTTGTATCGTCAGTGTTTAGTATTGTTTAGTGAGGTGACTCCGGTAAGCTCGGTCACAATAAATCAGCTGTTGATAATTTTAAGCTGATTGTAATATTAATTGGGTAACAAAACGATTGTATTCACTAGATTCTAGAGGAACTTTGTCTTGATTGTTACTTCACTATGTTTTGCAAAGTCTATTATTGTTGAGATTTGGCTGTAGTTGTATGGGAGCATGAATTGTGAAACAAATGCTATAGTTATGAATTTGTGATGTAACTGGATATTGGTTAATTTTCATATTTTGTAAAAAAAAAAAACAAAAAGGCTATGTAAATATTTAACAAACACAAAATAAAGTTATTAATTTACTAAATGGGTGTTTTCTTGTAATATGGTAAAAAATATATTGTTTCAGGGAAAGCGACTCAGACAGCCATAAATGGAAATAAAATTTATTTCAATAATTTTTTTTAACATTTATAACTATAATACACAATGGTGGTCATTAATACTGCAACTGTAACATAATTTATAGAAAACATTGGACAAAATAGTCTTAATACATAATGAACAATATAAAAAGAAAACATTTGTCATAAAGTAAATTATAAATTATCTATTAACTCCCAACAAATATTTATAATGTAAATTAACACCAAGGTTTTTAATTTGATGTAAAACTGATAAGAAGTCCACATTAACAAAGCAAGGTTTAGAAAAAAGTACTATTAACAAACTACATGAAATAGTATTTAAAAATACAAAAGTTTACAGCAGTCATATCTTAAAAGGATTTTAGAACATTACAAATGTTAGAAAAACTATGCCATATAACATTTTAATCTCACTTAGCATTGCAAAACTTAATCTACAAAGATATATTGAATTACCGACAGGATTTGAAGCAGAATAAGTCTTAATATTTACAAGTATAAGATAGTTATATATAATTAGGTCATACAGGCAAAGATATTTTAATCTGAAATATCAACCTATAAAAATATGAACATTGAACAATTTTTATTAGGAATATAAATGTTATAAATTCAGTAATTCAAATGCAAGAATCTTTAGTGATATTATTATAATTACTTAGAAATGTGAAGTCTGTTTATAATATTGATGCCTAATTTAAAAATGGGATATTTAGCAGCCTCTGACATCATGGTAACCTTGGTCACTGTTAAGACATTTGATATAAGGTAGCCGCCGATGGCTCCCAAGTAACATGGTATCGGCCATTTCTGCCACGGAGTGTTCCAATCTAAGGGGATCACGACCGCTCCAAGCCAAGCTCCACATACTGTTAATAATGCATTGTTCACCAACATAGCTATTATCGTGTCTCGAGAGAAACTTCTCACTCCAAACAACAATTGTACAGCAGACTCGACTCCAGTGTGTGCAATCAATGGAAATAGAGTTAGAAGTGTTAATACCGTCGATAACATAAGCGTTTCTTCATGATATTCCAAGACCGGTGCACCAAAGAGTATAATTCCGATGAAAAATGAAAACATGGCAGCAATCAGAAATATTGTGGCTTTAGCGATGTCACTAGGAGTTGTCTTACTCGTTTTCCTTTTGTTTTGAAGATCATTGTTGGAATTGAGATAAAACGATTTCATCAATTCAGCCACAAAAATAAGAAACAATACGTAACAGGATGAGGCATTTCCAACTGAGTATAATAAACCCTTATAACTGATAACAGTTATGATACTTGGCAAATAAATGCATGTTATTAAACTTGATATAGTCACCCTTCTGAGTTCAACATTATTATTTAGAGAGAACATTTTTATATCTCTTCGTAGTTCACATTTAACTTTTAACTAAAATTATTGGTTTGAAATTGAATTATCAAAATATATCATATAATGTCAAAATCAAATTGACAAATGGAAACATTTAAAGGAAGAGTCCACAGTGTATGTACTAAAAACCTTTTATTTAATTTAATTCCAAAGATAGCTATATTTACTTACTTTCTGTAAGCTCAAGATATTAAAAAACTTATCCTAATTTATTTGTCATTTCTGTCCTGTATTTATTTATCGATTAGGAATTTTACTATAAACCTGTAACTAACTTTGAAATTTTAAACAACAATTCAGAGATTTGAAATTTAAATAGTTAACAAAATTAGATACAAAAATTTATGCAGATTCAATGAAATTTCGTTAAATAACATTGAGTTTAATTTTATATAAATGAATTAATGAAATTCCAAAATTTTATTATAAACTAAAAGAAATGTTACGTTTTTCACAATAATTACTTTCGTTTTAATTAATCATAATTATAAAAAGGTATCACTTGTACAGCTATGACGGTTTTTAAGAACCGGTATAATTATATAATGATATTGTAAAGTTGGTCAGCCCTAGTTGACGTATCAATATTTTTAGTGGGCAACATTCATTCATTCGGAATCAAAATAAAAATTATACGTGGTGATTGGAGTAGAAGTGTACAACGTTTCCCAAACATAATCGATATGACGACAGACACTTTATAAATGAAGGCCGCTGTGTTTTGAACCATTAGTTGAAAACCTTACACCTCCGAGACGTTCGGCTACAGTGGGAGCCAACGTTACACCATATCGTGACAATATTAAACCTACAACAGGTGTATATAATTGTGCAGTTTGTGTTTTACGAGTGTCATCGATTACATAAAATGCCCTGTCCGTTTTTAGGATCAATGAATCAAACCTTTTTAAGGAATTACAGCAGCGTACTGCTAAAGCAGTATGGAAGCTACTGCCCTATACTTTCAAGAAGCTTTCGCTCTCTGGGCGTAGATGAAACGAAATGCCCATTTATTCAAAAGAACTCCATTATTTCGGAAGCGCCTAAAGAAATGACCGAAGATATCGTAGAGAGCGCCAAACCGATTTATCAGTATGAAAATTTCTTTAGCAAACAGATCAACGCTAAAAAGAATGATTACTCGTATCGAGTATTTAGAAAGGTGTCACGTCTGGCGGCCGAGGGCGCGTACCCGCAGGCGTTGGAAGGCTCCGACAACCGCCGCGTGACCGTGTGGTGCGCCAATGACTACCTCGGAGCGTCGCGTCACCCTGTTGTCCAAGATGCTGCTATATCTGCCATCAGATCCTACGGTACGGGGGCGGGAGGCACGCGTAACATCGCTGGAAACTCTCAAATGACAGAGAAACTCGAACATGAGATAGCCAAGCTCCATAAAAAACCCGCAGCTTTAATCTTCAGCTCCTGTTTCGTAGCCAATGACGCGACTCTCTCAACATTAGCGAAAATCCTACCTGGATGCATTGTTTACTCGGACGCGGGCAACCACGCGTCCATGATACAGGGAATAAGGAACAGCCGCGCTCCCAAACATATATTCAGGCACAACGACCCGACGCATCTTAGACAATTATTAGCCGAATCTCCTGCGGGCGTACCCAAGCTAGTCGTATTTGAAACTGTTCATTCCATGAGTGGGGCGATATGTCCTTTAGAAGAAATGTGTAACATAGCTCACGAATACGGAGCCTTGACGTTTGTAGACGAAGTCCACGCTGTGGGATTATACGGGAAACATGGAGCAGGTATTGGGGAGGAGAGAGGAGTAGAAGATCATATAGACATCGTTTCTGGTACTTTGGGTAAAGCGTACGGCAATGTAGGCGGATATATCGCGGGCTCCTCACTTCTGATAGACACTGTTAGGTCCTTGGCGCCTGGATTCATCTTCACCACGGCTTTACCGCCTCCAATCTTAGCCGGATCTTTAGCCGCTATAAGACTTCTAGCCAGCGAGGAAGGGAGATCATTACGAGCTAAACATCAAGCTATAGTGCGCTATCTCAAGCTATCTCTTCTCATCGCTGGTCTACCGCAAATGCCGTCAGTGAGCCACATAGTTCCTGTACCTATTACCGGCGCGGATAAAGTAGCTTTAGTGGCGGAATCCCTTATGAAGCGAGGCCATTATGTCCAAGCTATCAACTACCCAACAGTAGCTCGTGGGGAGGAGCGTCTTCGTTTCGCGCCCGGTCCATATCACACTCCAGGAATGATAGACAGCCTGGTCACTGCCCTCATAGAGTCATTCCATGAGAACAACATTAATTTCAACCAGTTCATGATCAACGGCGCGTGTAGGGAATGCAGTATGGAGTATAAGGTCGACATCGCTTATGAGGAGCCCTATAAGTACCCGATAGCTGTATAACTTGGATCTATCCAATAAAAAAAAAGTTAAATCGTTTAAAGTTTATTTGACATGTTATTTTTATGTGTAGGGGAAATAAAAGATGGTATATGATATATTGTATTATTTAATCCCAGTATTTGATGAGTCCGTCCCAACCAGCGGTGAGAAGGCGGCTCGGTTCGTGAGGATGCCATAGAGACGAAATACAAACACCGTCATGAGCTTTCCACTTCTTATAAAGCTTCGTTGTTTTCCAATCCCAGATATACGCTTTACCATCCGCGTCTCCCGAAACCAGATAGCTGTAACAAAATTCAAATTTAAAACTCCATTTTATTCCAATATAAAACCTATCCATTATAAAACTCTTTGGTGAAACAAAATTTCTTAATTATAATCACAATTTAGTAATTGTCATCATTATTTGCATTTAACTAATCTAATATTGTAATTGGATATACTTTAAAATGTTAATGAAGCTAATTTAAATAAAATATAAATTAACAGACAATCGTTTAAAAATTAATAATGCATGCTCTATGCGTTTTTATTAAATACATTTTATTTCACATAACATGTAACCTTTTTATTAAAAACTTATTTAGTATTTACAAATTGCGTTCTTGAAATCAAATATAGTTATAAATTACTGTAAATATAATGTATTAAAAATGATTATCGTAAATATTTCCGTTCTAATAAAGAGGATATATTTAATATGGATACCTTTCCCGTTTCAATGGGGCTTGGCAACCGATCTATTAAATGTATTGAGTCAAGGGGAACGACGAAGGTCACGTGATCGTACACACGAGATGCATTCAAAATAAGATGCGTTACGTAACTATATTACAATCATACTTATCGTATTATTATATAATAAATATCAATAAAAATAGTATATTCATTTAAATTACATTCAAATTCTATTCTATTCTCATTAAACGTTCCAAATTCAAAATTAGTTTTAAAAAGTTTGTATATCAAACTCAATCCTATACTACATTCATTTAAAATAAATTCTATTCTTTTCTCATTGAACGTTCCAAATTCAAAATTTGATTTAAAAAAAGGTCGTATAACAAAGTCAATCGTAATACATTAATAAAGTGTTTAAATATATTGAGAATTTAATGAGTAGCAAATATTACCAGCCTTAAAAAATATTTTTATATGTATGTATATGCATATGCTAAGTATGCTTTGTAAGATTTACTTCGTGAAATCTCTCAAAACATCGTAGAGCACAAAAGGATATCCACATACGAATAAAGAAACACCTTTACATACATTATAGTAACAATTTAAATAATTGTAGAGGAATAATTATATTTTTGTAAGTAAATATATGTTTATATTGCGTGTGTTTAATATTTTGTTAGCTCCAATACATATTAAGTTAAATTTATAACGATATATGATGCTGATATAATTTTAAAATTATTAATAATAATTACACTTTGAATAATCAATTGCATCAAAAAATCTTCATATTAAATGTATGAAAATGTATGTAGATATTGAAAACAAAAACAAAATACGCCCGAAATGTTACAAAAGAATGGATAAAAATATTTTGGTCGCGTTCAAAAATAGAAGAACAACGAAGAATAAGGAACTTTTCCGTATTAACTTCGTCATAAACTATTAGAGAATTGCGATTGGAAATATTATGAAAATACTAATTAAATTGATTAAATACTCTTTAGTCAACATGGCTAAAAGATTTTGAACCACTAAATGTTCAAAAGAAATATTAATTCCTACACTAAATTAGAAGTAAATAAATTTATTTATAAATTTAGTAGTATTTATCTAAAAATAGGATGAACTTTAATAGAATCTTATAAATAAACACAAAAAAACTAGACTAATCTGTATATTAAAAAACTGCTTATTTATTTTTAACTTATAAATTCAACATTTTTATTTATTTATACAATATGTTAATTAACAGAAATAGATGCAACAAAACATAAATGTCAAAATAGTGACGTCAAATTAAAAGATTTTAAAAGAAAGAAAAAAATGCATTGACATTTGACAAGTGCAATATTAAATTATACGGAAATTTTGTCAAATATTAAGTACCTATTTTTTTTACATAATTCGAATGAGAATCATGTACCGAGTATTCTCCTTAAATATTGATAGTAATTCACCAGTCACCCTGTATATAGTAATTTATTATATTAATATATTACGTTTAGAATTTATCTCAATAGATAGAATACTTGTCTATATTATATCTAGATAATAGATATATAGATATCACAATATTCGTTCATTCAAGTGCGTCCGATAAAATCGATTGTCATACGTATCTAGATCCGGCTTACTAACTATTAATTTAAACCGATTTTAACTTATATATTTCTTAATTAAATTATCATTGTATATTAGAATTTCAATCAATATTTTAATCAGAACTTCAAGTTGATGTAGATTATAAATTAATGGACTATTGTTTGTTTTATCTATGGAAGAACTTGTGATATTTTAAATTGAATTCAGTCCTTTTAAGTTTTATATACTTTCAAAATGGTTAACAATAGCTAATTTAAATAAGAAATATTTTATTATATAATATATAAAATAATTTGGCACTGCCACCAAAACTAATATTTGGCTCAGACGTACAACACGTGACAATTTATATTGCTGTAATTTCTATTCTAATACTGAATAATAAGGTTCAAAATCGTTTGAAAATAGTCTACCATATATTGGGGATATCACCAAGAGATTATTCTAATATTAAAAATAAATTACTTCGTTAAATTATAACTTTATGTATATGGAATTTTCATTAATGATAGCATTTTAACAATAAAATAATAATTATGGTAGAGGTATAATAAATTTGCATACAAATTGTAGAACCAAATTTATTAGCTTATACATAATAATTTAAAATAAATTTATGTTTCACTCAAAATGTATAAGTAATTGTATGTTACTTTAAAGGTTTCGGTACTTAACTTAATCCGTACATATAGTACAACGAACCTTGTGATTTCATTCAGTGAAAACTTATATGTTTTAAGATATACTTAGGACTAAGGATCGATACGTAATACGTAGATTTAAGAGTATATGATAAAAATTTTAAGTTTTCGCTTTAATTTGGTTTGATTTAATTCAGAATATAGGAGCGCTAATAATTTTGAAGATTTTTTATTTAAAAAAAGGAAAATCAACTAAAATATTTAATATGTCATATCGATCTTAAATGTCCTTATTATTATTCATCAATCGTTTCACTACGTACGTAGCGTTAACAGTTTCCAGAGATTAAATTGCATGAGCTCAAAAAGTATTAATTTGGTGAAGGTTAAAATAATCTACAAGGAAAGGAAGTTGATGAAAATTTAGTAAGATTTACGCTAATTGAAAAATTACACTTGGCACAAAAACTAAACATAAAAAAATACTATAACACCGCTTTTAATGACGCCCTAGTAGTATTAAACTAGCTTTCTGCCCACAGCTTCGCCCATGTGGATTTCGGTTATATCGCGTTTCCAAGAGAACCTTTCAAAAGTCTGAGCTAAAAACTATCCTATGTTCTTTCTCAAGGTCAACTCTATCTCTGTACTAAATTTCATTAAAATCAGTTCAGTGGTTTAGGCGTGAAAGCGTAACAGACAGACAGACAGAGTTACTTTAGCATTTATAATATGAATAGGTACTAGTAGGGAAATAGGGATAAATAATATTTATATATGTTCATATTATGTACGTATATATTTTTGATATTTTATATACAGCGACTTCCGGAAATAGGGATAGTAATAATAATAATATAATAATAATATAATAATCCTCGTCCTTCTGACGTCGTTGTAACCTAAATACAATATAACACACACCTACATAGAATATCGCATAATTATACGTATAAATGTAGTCTATTTTGTATAAAAAAAAACCTATGTATGTAGGTATAACAATAACTTAGACATCTGTAAGTATCCATTGAATTAAAACTAACATTGGATTAAACTACATACAGCCGACGTTTCGGTTACTTTGCAGCAACCGTGACCGTGCTATGATGCTCAGAATGTTTCATTTAAACATAAAAATCATACATTCGAAAACATAACATTTATTTAAACCTTAATACACAACAAATTTTTCAACAAACCAATGTTTATTTCTTATAATTATTACCATTATAATCGATACGCATAATTAAAATTTCCACCGCTTGCATCTACATACTTGTATTACGACGCAAAAATCTTTAACAGCATTTTATTATACGGTAATAGTCGGTTAGTTGCTAAGAAGTTTTTTTGATTGTACGAGCATAGTCGCGGGCTAGTAATAAGTTAATTCTAATTAAACGCCTCGTTAAATATAAATCATTTATTGAACGATGTTTATCGCTCGGCTCTGAACTAATTGCGTCACTGAACCTTTCCGACCTCTATTTAATATTTAAAAAAATAAGCTTTCAATTCATACATACATATTTAGATCATATGGTTTTACGTCTGAATTTTTTAAATTCTAATGTATTTATATTGGATCTTTTATAAAAATGCTTTCGAGTTTTTTACTCAAAGAAACATTAATACTATGTTAAATTTATCTTTATATTAAGAAGTAAATATAATAAATCCAATACAAATAATATTTAAAAAATATATATTGAAAATAATTTGTGAAATAGAAATAAAATATATATTTAAGAAATATAATAAGAAAGAGTTTTGTTTATAAAATATAATCTATTAAAACTATAATGTTAGATTAGTATAGAATTATTGATAAAGTGGGGTAGGTCAGGAGGTATGACGTCACACAATGAACCGAAAAACACTATCAGTGACGTCATCGGGATTAAAGGAAAAGATAAAAGATATACATCATTAAAACTCATATGTACATCTTTATATATATATAATACTTCTGTGAGTGTGTATGTCACTCAACTTCTCTCAAACGACCGGACCGATTATGATGAAATTTTTTGTGTGTGTTCAAGGGGATCTGGGAATGGTTTAGATTCACAATTTTGTCCGCTGGAAAATGTTTTTGTAATTAATTTTTAATTTATTAGTAGTTGTTGATACAAACGTTTTTTTGACATTAGATTAGACAACTAACTAATATGTCAATCATTCTGTCGCACTTCAAAACACGGAGATTTATGGCTTTAATAGGTAAACTCCAAAAATGTAAATAAAAAAACGTAAGACATTTCTTGATTATAGGGCGATACGGGCCGGGTCTTCTAGTATCTTTAAAAAGAACAGAACGATGAGTTTTTTTGGGTAGTTCATAAATATTA